CTTTCATAAAAATATGAGTTTTGAAAATTAGGGTTTTTGCTTAAAAGTTGTTTCTTTGGAAATGTCTTCACAAACGTTGTTTCTAATGACTTGAGAAAGCTTTTATGTAAAGACATTGTAAGGTTTAAGCTAAATGTTGAGTTTATGGATTTAGGGTTTCTCCCTAATGAAGAAATTTTAATTCCTATAGTTCTAAAAAAAAGACTTTTAGAAAGATTTTTGACATTGATTTATGGCTTTTACTTGAAGGGCAAGTTTTCATTATTGTAGATTACTTTAATCCAAGAAAGTCAATGATGTTTTAATTAATGTTCGGTAGTAGGATGAATGTTTGCTTATATAAGATCCTTGTTTTTGTTAACTAAACCCTAATTGAGAGTGAAGGGTAGTGAGAGATATCATGTTTTAGTATGGAGGGGTTTGAATTAAAACTTATACAAGACATTAGATTGAACTCCACCATACTAAAACATGATATCTCTCAATACCCTTCACTCTCAATTAGGGTTTAGTTAACAAAAACAAGGATCTTATATAAGCAAACATTCATCCTACTACCGAACATTAATTAAAACATCATTGACTTTCTTGGATTAAAGTAATCTACAAATGAAAACTTGCCCTTCAAGTAAAAGCCATAAATCAATGTCAAATTTTTTTCTAAAAGTCTTTTTTTTTAGAACTATAGGAATCAAAATTTCTTCATTAGGGAGAAACCCTAAATCCCTAAACTCAACATTTAGCTTAAACTTTACAATGTCTTTACATAAAAGCTTTCTCAAGTCATTAGAAACAACGTTTGTGAAGACATTTCCAAAGAAACAACTTTTAAGCAAAAACCCTAATTTTCAAAACTCATATTTTTATGAAAGGAAATACACATTAGGGTTTAGAAACATCCCCCTAACCTTCCCTAAATTTTTCTCAAAAGGATCTCAAAGAAAACTTAAGTTTTCTCAAACCCTAGAAATCTTCTCATCCAAAAATCTTGAGAATAAGATGGAAAAACCTAGTTCTATTGCATACCTTTCACTTCCCTTAGTCTCCTCTACAATTTTCCCAAAGTTTGGCCGTCGGAAACCGCCGCCGGAGCCGCCTGTTCTCCTCTCCCGTCCTCCTACCCGTCCGCCTTCTCCCTCACGCGTTCGGTTCGGGCCGCACGAAATGAATGGGGAGGGCTCGGTTAGTTCATTTAGGGAGAAAGGGGATATGCCAAAAGACTCAAATGCCCTAATTTAAATAGATTTTGCTTAAGAAACACTTAGGGGTAGAATTGGCATTATGAGACTTCTCTTAATTTTAATTCCTAAATTAAGCAAAATTAAATATAAGTCCTTTACATCAAATTTCTTAGAATTTTGCGTAAAATTTTTCAAAATTATTTCCATCGAAATCCGACATCCTCGAATTTTCCACTTAAAACTCGTCGCGACGCTTTGAAAAGCGTGCGAGGTCTAAAACGACGTTTTGCGGGTTTTACAGGTATATCCAATGATGTGGATGTTGATATTGAGGGGTTGGACTATAATGACATTGCTCCTTAACCTTTTGATGTGAACTTAAATTCTACATAAGGAAGAGAACACTATATTAGCAACATGACACTTCCTTCAATAAAACATAAATCAACACAAACAAAATGAAGCTTAGTAGAAAACATATATTAAAAAAAAAACGAAGAGGAAACCTTACAATAAACAAACTAAACATAAAAATAAACTGCCCTCAGAACAACCTGGAAAGATCACCTCACGTGCAAATATGAAAATTAGAGAATGGTGCTCAAAGAAAAAAATCAAACTAGTGGTTCGCCACAAAAATCTTGATCTAATTCAAGTCGACACTCCTCCGACAAATACTAACAAACAGGCTCAACAACACCTCAATTTCAGCCAAATTTGGTGAAGAAAGATACAAGTGGAGGGGAAACCGTGGAGAGATGAAGTAGATAAAAGATCAGAAGAAGAAATAGGTGTAGGAAGAAGATAACTCTCAAGCTTAGGAAGAAAACCCTTACGTTTCAATCAGATTTCAGCCAACAACCACCATTTTCACAGCAAATAGCCCCCATATATAGGAGGAAAAAGGACCCAACAATCCTCATAAATGAGCCACCCCAAATGACCAATAGGAGCCAACACAAGACTTGGAAACAACACAAAGGGAGGGGAATGGCCAACAACAGGTTCCAACGCCCAAGGAATAAACAAAACATAATTCCCAAGAAAGGGAAAACCGAATTTTGCATGGAAAAACAACAGAATTCCAACCAGCCACCATAAAATCCTGAAATAAGCATCAATGTTTAAAATTGTGCAATTCAGTATTGAGGCGTTTTTTGTTCAAGAGGCGAGGCGTAAGCCTCAAGGCTTTTTGAGGTGTAAGCATCAAAATAAAATATTGCGTTAAGTGCAAACAAATGTTAAAAATAATTTTTTATATAATACCCAAATAATATGTTAAAAGATGACATATTACCTTTCTATTGAACTATGAAATAACACAACGACATATGAAACAAAAAATTGCACAAGACATAAAGTGTTTAGTGATAAATTGCATAAAATATAATTGAAATACAAATATTACATGAGCAAAAAATTATTAAATATAGAAATTGCATAAAATTATCATATAACATTAAGTTCAACTTCAAATGCTTTCTTTCTTAGCTCCCTTCTTATATACATTTAATTTTGAAAAGAAGCTGAAAAGTTGGCAACAACTAAAAAATCATCTGTATTGTCATCACCGAGGGGATATTTATTTGAGTCGTAATTATAACAAATTGATTTCTCCCTTGTCTCATCTTGTGGAGTCCAATGTCTTCCAATATGCTTCTGCTTCATTTATTTCAGTCATCTTACTCTTTTGTAAATGTATTTCATTAACATAAAGATGAGATTAATACTCCAAAATTTTTAGAGGTGGTGGTGGCTGTGGCGAAGGCGATGGGCTGGAGGTTGAGAGGAAATTGCTGCGACTTAGGGGTGCACGAAGTGTGATTTGCTCGGGGCTTTACTTTATGATTTATGTAAGTTTATATATATATATATATATATGAAAGGAAATTGCTGTGACTTTGGGGTGCACAAAGTGTGATTTGTTCGGGGATTTACTTTATGATTTATGTAAGTTCATATATACATATATATACATATGTACATACATAAGGGTAAGGCATAAGCCTTACACCAGTGAGGCGAGACGAGCCTCAAGGCGGATATATGAGTCTCGCCTTGAGACCCGCCTTAACGTGATTCCA